TGTTAATAAAGGGGAAGTTTACCAATTTAAAATAATTTTAGAACTGGTAAGAATACACAGTTACCAAACATCCCATTTCTGAAATTATGTATTTTGTACACATGGTTTATAGTGAATGACAATTGTAATATAAAATAATATAAATGGTAATAAATTGTTATAAAACTTGTTGAAAAAAATTCAAAAGTAGCTCACTCAAGGAGGGAAAAGGCTGGACAAACAACCACTGGGTTTCGACAGTTGGCGTGCTGTTCTTGTAGGTAATTAGAAACAATAGAATCTAATGTTGGACCTGAGCTAATGTGTCGTTTCCTCTGTCTCGGTGTATGGTTTATTATCATACTGGAATTTTGACTCTTTTCACAGCATATGCGTCTCTTTGAAGTCTGGAAAGAAAAATTAATTTTAGCATTTTTTTAAACAAAAATGGATTGAGTTTCTGAAAGACTTTTTGTGTAATACTAGACAAGAAAAGAAAGTATAATACATACTCCAAGTATTGAAATACACGCCATCGTGTTGGGATTCAATATTTCGACATTAATTATGTCGAAAATCTATGTTAAAAAACTATTTAGTAAATTTAATATAAAAAAAACAAAAAACAAAAAAAACGAAAGCTTAACTACTACCACTAATAATAATAATAATAAGTTAGACTTAAATAGCATTTCTTGCCAACCAGGCATCTAAACACTTCACAATATTACCCCAGGTCATTGAATCAAGCACATATGGAACACATACTCAGTTCCCCGGAGAAAATTCCATAATGTTGCAGCTGTAATCAGCGCATTTTTTGTTTGAACCTACCAGGTACCCACTTGTGCATATAAACATAAGTGAAGTGCCTTTCGCCAGAAGAAGCGAAATGCACAGCGAGGGACTGAACCTCCGGCATCAAGATTTAGAATCAGAACTGCAACCACTGTGACAAACCGTACCTAACCAGATAACATTCTTCTGCTAAGAACTAATATGCGAAAAAATATTTGGTAAGGAAAGCCAAACCTATATGCCTAAGCCACATATTCCTCTCTGATTATTAAAAAAAAAAAAATCTACCTTTGGAGTGTTGGATGTAGAAGAGAAAACAATTTTCTTTGGTTGACAGCTAACTGGAGTTTGCTTGGACGGCTGACCATTAGTTCCTGATTGACTTGGTTTTGGCGACTGTATTGACCGCGATGCATGTGCTTTGATTGGTGAGATATGATTTGCTGGACTCTTCGGGATTACTACTCTATGAGGCTGTGGAAATTCACCAACACAAATTATATTAGAATAAAATGGAATGAAGTAGAAAGTAAGCAGGCTTGGACGAAAAATGCTTGTGCCTCCCACCATACAAGTTGTCACAATAAAATCCCACCTGAACAAAATCTTATCTGTACACATAGCCTAATTTTATTTTTTAATTTTTTCCCCACAAAATGCTTCCAGGATATTTATGATACCTCCAACTGCCGGACGCACACTTTTATCAGGCGTTGTTACGTCACGGTACTAAGTAACGGCCTACTAATAGGTTAGTACAGCTGAGCGCCTCCAGAGCCAGGGACAGTTTATCATACATTTTTCAACTTATGTATAATAACCTACTATAATAATTTCCAATTATAAAATTAAAATTTATTTAATAAAACATATTATAAAAACTAGGCATAGCTATTCCATTAAATTATCAATAGACGTTTAGAAAGCTAAAATAAGTAACGTCAATGTTATATAGTTAAGTTCTAGCGGCACACATCAATATTGACTGCATCGATAGTATTTCTCAGTAATGAAGGGGTGTCGCAGGGGTTATGTTGAAATGTCTTCGATACAGAACTACGTATGTCTGACTAGCCAAGGCTAGGCTAAACTTACTGGGAATGCTGGAGGTGGGCTTATTGTCCTTGAGGTTGTGTGCTGTACTGGTAGGCTAGCCTCCTGGCTTAACACTGCAGCAGTCTGTGTTAATCCTACATGGAATGATAGAAATAAAATAAAATTAGAAATTTAAAATTAATGTGAATTAATGTAATGCGCTTCATACTAAAGTCTCAATGCAATCGAGGTGTGGACTATCTCGCACATTATCTTTCTTCTCCCCAGGGGCCTCTTAGTGTCTGAGCTACCTGGTAAACTGGTATCAGCTATCTCTCATTTGTCCACATAGGGACTGTATGAACCAATACACCGGAGCATCTCCCTACTTGTCTTGAAAAGTATGTACTGGGTTCTTTATAGTGCACATGAGCCGTGTAGTACACTGGACCTACGGTTTATAGTCCTTATCCGAGAAGACTTGTTCCACCACCAGAACCATAGGCAAGCATGCCGTTTGAACCAGCGCCGATATTATGGCTGTAGGTTTCAGTGCCCCTGCCTTAACTGCTCGACAATCAAACTCGCTAAAAATTAAAATATGTAAAGGCACTTTGATCTGTTTGCGTATTTACCGCTGTTTGTCTATTTTACTGTCTGTATGTTAGCAGGACTATGTAAAACTATTGAAGGAATCATCAAATTTAGTGGAATTGTACATATTGGTATAAGTTCAATTGGGGGCAGTCAAAGGTCAAATAAGTTAAAAATCACATTAAAATATTGGTTTAGGAGGAGGTTTTCTAGTAATAAATCAATTGTTTATACAATAATTTTTAAAACACTGCTGAATTTTTTACCTTGTGCCTGAAGGTGGGAATGGATAAGTTGGAGTAGCTCTTGCTGGTCGTATCTGATTCTTGTCTGCTGAACAATGTTTGCCTTATGGAGCCTGGCTAGTGTAACATCAGAACCTACCGACAGGGACTTGCCAGTCACACGCTCTGAGAGAATTCAGAATTATATCTACTTTAATTATTATTATTACACCTTAAGAAAGTTTAATACAGTCAGTAATAACATGAACATAAATATTATATATATATATATATATATATATATATATACACATATATACACATATATATATATATACAAAAAAAATATACATATATATATCTAAAATCAAACAAGTAGGTGGCTGCATCCATATATATATATATACATATATACATATATATATATATACATATATATATACACATGCATATGATGTTCAATAGATACAAATATTAATGTCAAGGAAAAATTGTAATGAACAACTGGTTGATTGAATAATAACTATATAAAGTAAAACATGAATATTCATATCTTACTCATCAACATTCATATTATGACAGAAATAAGATTTTTATTTTGCAATACGTTAATACAAAAATAATAATAATAATAAAAAAGTAAAACATGAATATTCATATCTTACTCATCAACATTCATATTATGACAGAAATAAGATTTTTATTTTGCAATACGTTAATACAAAAATAATAATAATAATAAAAATAATAATACTTCTTGATGATTTTGCTCTTACCAATAAGCTCAGATGCAAACTTGCAGAACTGGAGGTGCTCCGCTCGCTTCTCATGCAACACTGGCTCTCTCATTAGCGCTGTAATTGAATTTCAACGAAAATTTTAAACACTTGCAAAAATCAATTACCACTGTACAAATTACGGTCTACAAATGAGACACAAATCCAGTCATTTACTACAAGGATGAATGAAAAGAAGGGCAGTGGACAGATGCCAATAAAGAATTTGGCACCCATGAACCTGACTAGTGTTAGAAAATTAAAAATCAAAGAAGTGGTATAAAAGATCTTACATTGAATAGACATGGTATTATTCATGCATATATTTTAAATTGGTAAAGAAATAATAATTGTGCTATTTCACAAACTAAAGTTAACAATAACTGCTTAAATATAGATTTTAAACAATCCAAATTTTTTCAAAAGACAAAACTTACATTGCAACTGGCCTGCAGAGAAAAGTGGAAGTTTACTAATAATCTGGCGAACAGTGTCACTACGTGCGAGTCCACATAGTGCCCTGCACGCGAGTGCACGTATGCTGTCAGCGTCTGTGATTGGTCCCTTAACCATTAACAGTGAGAGAAGTGTCTGAAATAAAGGTTATCATAAAGACAAAGATTGTAACATTCCATGGTAGATGTGAGTACAAAAATATCAATGAATGATACCACGATTTTCAAACAAGTTTAACATTGGTGATTGAGAGAAAAACCACAGCACAAATATATTAATTTATATTCTTCAAATATATAATAGGTACAAACAAATGTACAACTGAGGTCTTATCTAGAGCTAAAATAAAATATTATGGCAAAATTCACAACAGCATTTCTGTTTGAATTACCTTGATTCCATTATTTGTCCGGACACAGTCCCATAATTTGGCCATGTAATTATTGTTACTGCTTCCAGTGCTTTCCTTAACTTTCCGGGTGCCGCCGACGAATTTTCCAAAAGAACTCCCAAGCTGAAATCAAAAAATAAATTACCATGTACGAAAAAAACAAAATAATTAACTATATTATGGTGTTGAAACCCTTTAAAACTCTTCTATAACAATAATATGCACTTGAGCTTTTTTTGTATACAAGATAATAGCTTAAAAGTTGAGTTTTCAAAGACAGTGGGGTATAGATATTTCACAATGGGAGGAGCTCGATGCAATAAAACCACAAAATTCATTATCAATAATGGCTTGGAAGTTATCATCATTAATATTTTTTTTTATAATTATCATTATTACATTAAGCCCTGGGCTTTTTTTTCACGAACTTTAGATTAGCTTCTTTTCAAGATGGGCTTCTTTTCGAGGCCACTTTTGTAAAGTAAAGAGGGGGTTTCTTTTCAAAATGAATACTGTAAATTTTGTAAATTTGTACTATAAAATGATAAATACGGTCAGTGTAACATCAACCTGTATCATGGAGTGTATTTTACTGACATTAAATCACCTAAACTACTGCATAAACCAAGCTTGTTTTTATTTTATTTTGGTTTTTGAAATTCAGGGTATATACTTGTACTATCTCAAAAAGAAGCCTATACTATCTTGACAAGAAGCCCATGGGCTTCCTTACGAGATGGTCTTCTTTTCAAGGCTAATTTTGCAAACTAAAGAGGGGGGGGGGCTTTAATTTGAGATGGGCTTCATCTCGAGATTAAGCCCACTGGGTTTCAATTGCAGGTTTTACGGTATACTATTAAAAAATTACAATTACAAAAATGAAAAAAAAAATCAAGCAAACATTTTAACTGTATTCTACTTACCCTCTTTTCTGGTCCACATACACAGTTGATAATGACCTGGAGAGCAGCCTTCTGGGCCTCTGTGTCGCTGATGATCTCGCCATCTGCTATTCCAATGATGATGCTACACAAATATAGCAAAATAATGCAAAAAAAACTGAAAAAAACCTTAGCATATCCCTATCTAACTCTTCAATATGAGGTTGCATTTATAGTTCATTAAATATATAAAAATACTTATAAAAGCGGATGTATAAAAACATTAAAGAAACAATCACGTAACATCAAAAAATAACAAGGGTCAGAGTAAAAATACAAAAAAAAGTTAAACATCAATAATATAAAAAGAATAACAAAGAAACCTGTTTGACAGGTGGGTATATATAAATTAGTGATGCTACAGTATTGCTATATTGTAACATAAAGACATGAAGAGTTTAGAGGTACATACTTTAGGCCTACTGTAGATGTGTTCTCTGGTAATTCTACCTGCTTACACAATTCTTGCTGTCCAGTAGAAGTCAGCGATGCCACAGCAAGAATATCCATGGCAGCTTTCACGACTTCTCCTCTATATGGCAGAAGAAGATCAATTACATGTGCGAATTAGAAATGTATTATACAAATATTTACTGGCATAGCTGATGATATAGCTTGAGGTGATCGGGAGAATGTACTATGCCCGAGACAAAATCGACGGCCAAAATACAATACAGCCTTCAGATCACCTCGTAGGCATTAGAGGGCATGGCCGGAACTATTGTCTGGCTTTAAACCAACCAATTGCCTGGAATCTGTGTATTTGGTAAAAAATATACATTGTTTATCAGCAGAGATTTAAATTTTTAAGAAGACCTGTCTGGTTTTTTTACCTGTTTCAAATGTCCAACTTTTGTGATTTATTTATGAGGCATATTCTTCATTTTACCAGAGCAAAATGTATAGGGTAAATTGCCAACCAAAGTACCCGTACCATTATTTTGATATTATACCTGTGTAACTTTTACACATACTATTAAGGCTTAAAGATCCAACTTCCCTTTTCGTCTGTTATTGCTTCTATTACCTGGCACTGTATTTCTTCCAATCGCTGCATAAGGCAACCACCTGCAGAACCAGCTGTATCCCTTGTAGTCGCTGAAGCTCACAAATTGGACTCCACTTACGACGAGACGCATTTTCAAGCATTATACTTAAATTCTCCATTGTTGCTTCTGGGGACAAGGTCAGTGGCTAGGAGAAACACAATAATCATTAGATAGATTAGTTTGGTAGTTAATTTAAAGGGGGACAAGCTGTCCTGGGCTCCTCTAGGGAAAAAAGCCTTTTCCGGCCATCAAGATTTGCCATAAAATTTTGTACTTTACCTCCAAACACGATTGGGAATGAGGTAGTCTAGACCCTTCATCATATGTAATAATTACTGCTCCAATATTAAGTTTAATTTTAGTACAACAGAAATAAAAAGTGGAGATGGGGGTGAGGGGATGTTAATGTTGTGGGAAGAAAGAAATGTATTCATCAGTATTACTTAACCATCAACGTCTTTAATGTTATTTATCAACATTGGGCAAGTTCGATAAATAGATGTTTACCTTGTAGGGAGGAATGGCGTCGAGTTGAGCCATGTCCTGATTGAGGCGTGTAGATGCACGTTTTATTGAGTCCACACGTAGTGCCAGGTGAGCCTCAAAGTAACGCTTAATCGCTGAACATGTGTGCTTAACTGTCTGGTAATTACCGAACAACTGGTCATCGTTAAGCAACATTCCTTGGTCATCTAGGTTCAGAATATCTAGTGTACTCATCTGGAAAAAAACATTAATATTAATGAATAGTAATGAATATAAATGATTTTTAATGAATATTAATGATGCCTCGTTAACAAATTTACTAATTTATTATTAATTGAACATAAATAGGTAAGAAACTTTATTTTCCTCTTCACAATTCCCAGACTCAACCACTACAATATATGTTTATTGTATTAATTTAATTAATCAGTTGTAAACAATTTACCTGATTGTAACATAATAAGGTAACATCCTAATTCTCACTTAACATTTTAAAAGAAAGAATGTATAATTAATTCATTCATTTGTTGCTTTTCTGTTTACATTGGTTTCGATATCTATCCATCCATTTATCTATCTGCCAACCTGTATATCCAGATTAATTTACAACACACAATGTACCTATTCATCAACGTTCTGTAACTCTCTACATTTCTGTCTCTACACATGTTTGGCAGTCGGGTTGTTCATTTGTCTGTCTGTCATTTTATCTATGTATGCCAGAAATGAATGTATAGTTTTGAATGTTCACTGATTGCTGCTGACTTACGGTATTGAAAAGCTTGCGTAGACCGTCCTTGTCATCGAACAGATCAAGCACGGCACGAAAATGGAAGCTGAGCATAAAGAACATTGTTGCATGGCAACGACCAGACTCATGGGAGCATTCCAACAACCACAATCCATAACTGAACAAAAAAATATTAAAAAAGGAGAATAACTGCTAATCATGTACACAACAAAGATCTTATGATAAGAAGATAGAGCACTCCACAGTTTTTACGCATAACGAAATAGAAATGCCAAATTACATTGAGCCATCTCACAAAAACAAGTGACGAAAGTTGCCATGCCTATCTATATTTATGATTTTTACATAATGGAATATATATATGTATAGTAAAATCCATGGATTTTGAATACTTGTATGCATAGCGAAATAGTCTTACCTGGTCAGATCCGATAACACCGGGCTCGGTAGTAGGCATATCCGTTCCATAGCGTCCGAGTTGTACGCCAAGTAGTAAATGCACATTGCGACACCAGTGGCTGCCACCGAGGGCCGTGGCACGTTCAGTAGGCACTGGACTCCTCCAGACTCAATAAACTCGGATGCAAACTTCTTATGGCATAGAAGAGATGCTAAGTACTGAAATGCATAAACAATTTTAGATGACAATATCTTTTTGATTTCATGAATATATTATTTTACTGCTGTGTGTGGTAAAATCTAGAGAGACTCTCAAAAAATGTCATTAAAGTTGTCTCCACACTATTAAATTTTATGTGACAAATTCAAAAAATGTCATTAAAGTTGTGTCCATACTATAAAATTGTATGTGACAAATTTAAAAAATGTCATTAAAGTTGTGTCCATACTATAAAATTGTATGTGACAAATTTAAAAAATGTCATTAAAGTTGTGTCCACACTATAAAATTTTATGTGACAAATAAATTTGTTTGATGTGTCCATATATGAGCATGATGATGTCATATTACACCCAAATATGGGCATATCACATTTTATTGTCACATAAAATGTGACAAGGCTTAAACTGTTGAATACCAGCCAACAAATTATGTATAACCATCAACATTATTATTGAAATTAAAGGGACAAGTGGTATTTATACTTGGGCTAAAAATCTGTTCATAAGAAATCTTACCTTCAGGCCTTCTAGAGTCAGGCGGACATCCTTAGTCTTCTCAAGATTCAAATAATGAAATATTATTCCCATGACATCATTCTCAATAGCAACACCAAGCAACTTAATATAAAAAATACACTTATGAATAATACATTGCAGGACTGCATATACATATATTATTTTTCAGTCATAAAGTTAAATTCTGATCAAATTGTTAGTAATGAAATTGTTATCGGTTATACATTTTTTTCAATAATTTCTGTAAATGATTTATTAATCCTAATAAAGATATTTCCCCAAACAAAATTGAAATTCTTAATTATCACTATAAAATCAATCTGGCCAATGAAGGGAGGGAAGACAACAACACATGCGAATTGTGTGGAGAAATACATGTGACCCCTTACCTCTTGGTACTCCCCCAATGGTGTCAGATACTGTAGAATAAACCTCTGCTGCATCACGTTGTTCAGCGGCCATATACAATGCGAACCAATAACGTACGTCGAAGCTTCAGCCCAGCTGCTGTTGCTACATTCTTTATCGACACCAAAAATCTCAGACACCTCCTCGATGCTTAACCTTCTGGATCGTACTTTGACTATACTAGTGTCCGTTTCAGAGTCATTTCTTAAAGAATCTTTTTTTTCTGTGTAATCCACTGATTGGATTTCCGGACGTTTTACCATTGGTCCATTCACGCTCTCTTTCAACACGTTCACATGTCTGAATGCTCGTATATTTGGAGCCGATTCATTTTCTTTTGCGAGTGTTTGTAAACGTCCCAGCATCAATTGAACCTGTAAAAGTCAATTATCTGTTGTAAGATTTATTTCTATTTATTTATTCGGTTTCTTATATAGCGACATTCTTTGAAGATATGAAGCACTTCTGTCCAAGTGTTGCTGCTGTGATCAATGCAGGAGTAGGCAACTCAACCAGGTAACCATTTATACTTCAGGGTGGAGAGAAGCAATTCAATGCAGATGAAGTGCCTAGCTTAAGTACACAAGCAAAACGCACAGCGGAGGGATTGAAACCCTGACTTTAAGGTTGAGAAACCAAACCGTTCCCGCTATGCCAAACCACTTTGGATCATAGAGTACAACGCTTGTGTCATCACAACACCAGGTGACACCGTTTGTTGTAAACCAGACGTTTGAAAAGCAGACATCAAGCCTGAATGACTTCATCATCCTAATGGTTTAGAATAGGCTTTCTGGAATAGGCATTATAAAACCTAATAATTTACCATCAAAATGTACTAAAAACGCAAAAGCTCCATTGTATTAGTTATCAAACACATATATAATCATCAATTAAAATTTACAAAAAATAATTAAGATAAAACATCTTAATAATTATGTTAAAAATTGGGATCGATGGTTTGTCACTGGAGAAAATGGATCCGGTTGAAGGCATTTCAGGTCGTGAAACCAATATAGTAGTATCACACGGTATCGTGACGTAACACCTTAGTACTCTTTAGGCTGGGAAGATTACGTAAATTTTGTGCTATATAAATATATCTATTATTATTATTATTATAAATAATTATTATTAAATTGTTATTTTTATTACCATCTGAGCATTCTCATCTTTGAAATTACCAGCCATTTCAGTGTCCTCCATTGCTGCTGCCAGGAAGCCAGTGGCATATGACCGCAACGGTTCATCTGCAGTACGAGCCCATTGCAGGAAAGTAGAAACCAAGTTATCCTATAACACAGCACATCAGAGTAAATAAAACAACACAAACACACACACACATCAAACAATAAATTATCTTTGTCAAGAATATGTACAGTACATCGGAATTATAGGTTTCCCTGTTACAACAACGACACATACGTACGCATCCATTGTGTACTACAGGGCTTGAATAGGGATTGTTAATTTGACGTGATCGACATTGATAAACAATTTCGGGTAGACGCGAGTGCGTCTAAATAACAATGCTTAGACGGTGTAGGCCTTGAACGGACGCGTCATGGACGCAAACAGGACGAAAACTGGATGCGTCTGTTGCGTCTAAAAATTTGCATTTTTTATGGACGGTACTGTACATCAAATTATTAACATCAAATAATACCTAAATAATGACTGTTTATAGATTATTTTACTATGGAAAAAAATTCCTTTAGTAACTTCTTAGTGTGTGCTCTATATAAATTTATAAATAAATAAAAATAAAAAACATTATGTAAGGATACATAGAAAAGGTCAATTTCTGTGTATTTTATGATGAATAAAAGTTGTTGAATCTTGAACCTAGAGCAAAGCACAGTTTAGATTACACTTACAGTTTCATGAAAAATGATTGATGTCTCTAATCCAGGCATTACGTCTAGAAGAAGGCGACAGGTTACAATATTTAAATCCTTGTCTTGAGATTGGATATAAGTCTTTACAAGCTGTCAAAAGAACATTTAATTACTCAATTAATCAAATTACCAAAAGAATTTCAAAAGATGATCCCCTACGACTAAAATGAATAATAAAAAATAAATAAATAAATGAATCACTAATATAAAAATCACTAAAAAGAAACAGTAAACATCATTAATAATGGTAACAAGTATAAGAAATAATAACAATTAGTTATCAACGGCCTATAGATGGGTGCAGAGCACAAAATATTTTCCGTTTTCTTATATAAACGAATAAATAATAATAAATATTTTCTTCAAACCTTATCCATGAACTGGTCATTTTCAAAGATAATTCTGAGGAGATGTCCTAAGCTGCAGTCCCTATCTCGGTGATGTTGCTGAACCTAGTTGCTGCTGCCATTCACCCATCAATGATGTGAATTCAGCTTTCACCTTCTTCCTTCCTTCCTCCTCATCCTCCATACTTGGTCACTGAAACTAAAACAAGTAATAACATTGAAAATGAGATATCATTACAAGCATTAAATTTAGGCCAAGTTAAAAAAAAAAGTAGTTTCTCATATTAATATTTTGAAAAAAGGGGGAAAGATGGGACTCTGATATGGCAAATCCAATTTGGTCGATGGGAAACAGCTCCTACTTTCTCATTTTTACCAATTAGACACATTGAAAGCAAATATAAGAAGCACTAGACATGATTCATACCATATGTATCCCCCAACCACGAAAACAATCAAGAGAGGAATTTTTACTGATGTGAGTTCGCCATGTTTTGAGATACTTCGTAAAATAAAGGAAATAAAACAAATTTTTTGGTACCAGCTACTCATTGTCTGTCCACAACAGGGGCTGTATGGACCAGTATTAGTACACCAGGGTAGGCCTACCAGTCTTTAAAGATGTACAGGGTTCCTTAACGTGCACGAGTCAAACTGTGTATTAATTATGGCTGTACGTTGCAGCGCCCCTGCTGCCTTACTAACCCATGCCATTTGACCCACCTACTGTCTAGCTAGGCTACACAGGCTAAAGAGGCCACGGCAAACAAGGCTAACGCCAGGAGTCTGAGAAGCAGGGTTTCGTCAAATCTGCCTTTAGGCCACGGGAATGAAAATTGTATGTTTGCGTCCACCGCCCGCATGCCTAAAAAGCTACCGCACGAAAATTTTCATTATTTTGAAAAGTTCATTATTACTTTCTAAATCGTAAAGAGACAGAAAAACGATCTATTCATCACTGATCACTCGTCGCGAACACCGAACTAAGCCAGGCCTGGCCACATCGCACCATGATCACCGATCACTGCTGAGGTCATTTACGGGTCAAATCGATCTTTCTGACCAATAAGAAATCTCGTATGTTTAAAGAGGTCTTAAATGTAGAAAAGGATCTGTTTTATAGAGGCTAGTGTACATTTATGACTGTAAGCCTTGTTTCTTGGGAATAAATGTAAAATTACCAATGCCGTGGCTTGTGGACAGCATTTATAAAAAAAATAATGAATAATGAAAAATGAAAAAATGCCTCATGTGTTTTCAAAATTTTTCGGACGCAAACCTACAACTTTCATTCTCGTGGCCTTAAGTTATAGGACTAGTGCTTACCTTGGAAAATAGGAGGCAAAGAGTAAGTAGGCCTACTTTGACTAAAAATTTGCCTCTCTTAATCTAGGCTAGGCCTAGGACTACCTAAAAGTAAGACTACCTAATTAAAGCCTAGGCTAGCTAGGCTAGGCCCTAGATGAAAAAAATAAAAAATACATGTAAAGAAAATGCCTGTACTATTATCACTATTGAAATTCTATTCGGATTCATTCCAACGACTGACTCGCCATCATCATTTAGCTTCTCCAGGCTAACCTAGGCCTAGGGCAGCTAAGGTGGGTCTCGTATCCACGATCCCACGGTCACAGTAGTAGAGTTGCAAATGACGAAACAGATGGCTGCCAGGCCTAGATAACAAGCTAGCTAGGCCCTAGGCTAGACTTCAAGATTTAGTGTACAGGATTCAACAAAAAGGGAATAATAAATTTTAAACGTTTACCCGTTAATAAAATGGGCTAAATAATAGGTCCTTTTCAGAACAAAAGAAAAATATATAAACGCGTGTTGCTATTACTTTAGCTATTTTTCTTCTCGAACTTCCAAACAAAACAGGCACATGTGTTGTTGTGTTTCGTAAAAACAGAATGAAAAGACCAACTTCAAAGTTGCCATGCTACTTCCAGTTTATTCTATATTTATATTTAAATTTACGCTTAAAATGGTATTTTTATAAAGTGAGTCTTTACAATTTTGGAAAATTAATTCTTTAATCGTTAATGAACAAACTTGAATTGTCGTAAGCTTTATTTAAAAAAAAAAGCAGTGCATAATACAATATTTGCTTTCTGGCAATAATGATTGGTTATGAAAGCGTTTCAGTTCCACCATTTATAGGGCGCTGTTGTTATAATAACATTAACTTGAACTGGCTGCAATAAATAAAGCCTCACCTATTCACCTGGTAGACTGGCATGATTAGTTTCCTGCGTCATCATGCTTACTTGCTACCGGAACATTCTATTATCAAAGCACTTCCAGTTATCCTCTTCGTTTTGTGCATCCAGAAAGGGTGTTGCAGTGGGACTCAACAGGCAACAGACATCAGTGGTGGGTTGCAAGTTTTCTTTTTTCTCTTCGAACAGAACTGGTAACTTTGACATAACCGAAGACAGTGTTGGAGATTTATCTTACAAAAAATACAGTCATCGTCGATTCTTTCGTAAGCTCATTAAGTGATAATATACTTTATTTGCGTAATTTAATTTAAATCCTCCAGAAAATGCAATGAACATACTTCTTTCATTTCAGTACATCAAACGAAGCAAGAATAGTTCATATCTTTTATTAAAATATCTCTATTTAATACGCCTAGATTATTTATAGTAATATATTATATAATTCTTACCTTAGTGATTCTTACCTTTAGTGATTGTAAGGAGGCAGGGAGTTAGTACGCGCAAAAATTGCCTCCTCTCAAGTTTTGAATGTTTCGGTCGTAGTTTGCTTTGAATCTGTCTCTTATACACATCTAGAAGCAGGGTTTCCTCAAATCTGCCTTTAGGCCACGGGAATGAAAGTTGTAGGTTTGCGTCCACCGCCCGCATGCCTAGATTATTTTGAAAAGTTCATTATTTAAAAAAAATATATACTTCGTTTTAAAAAACGAAAAAGAAGTCGTAAAGAGACAGAAAAACGATCTATTAATCACTGATCACTCGTCGCGAACACCGAGCGAAGGCAGGCCTGGCCACATCGCACCATGATCGCCGATCACTGCTGAGGTCATTTACGGGTCAAATCGATCTTTCTGACCAATAGGAAATCTAGCAGTAGGAAATTTCTCGGACACAAGCCTACAGCTTTCATTCTCGTGGCCTAATAGTGTAGTTTTATATAGCGCACATATCCATCTAATGTAAGATGCTCTGGGCGCTTGATATGGACTAGGAATTCGATCAATGTATCACCTTCAATGTTATTATCACTAATTAGTATTATTAAAATAGATATTTAAATATCGTTATTATTACCATATTATTACTATTAGTATTGTTAAAATAAATATTACTATAATATTGTTGTTGTTATTACCTTTATTATCGTTATTATGACTAATTAGTATTATTAAAGTATAATATTTGAAAAAGTCCGACATGTCACTGGTGATTCACGTCATTGGATGCATCCTTGTCACTGACGGGTTTCAAACATAGCCCCCAATGGTTGAACAAATATGAAGGACTGAAGTCTGATTTCATTTTAATTATAAATAACTTGTGGCCGAGTTGACTTGTGGCCGAGTTGACTTGTGGCCGAGTTAACTTGTGGCCGAGTTGACTTGTGGCCGAGTTGACTTGTGGCCGAGTTGACTGCAGCCAAACTTTTTGTGGCCGACTCGATTTGTGGCTGAGTTGACTTGTGGCCGAGTTGACTTGTGGCCGAGTTGACCTGCTTCCCATTTATCAATGACTCTAGTGTTGAAAAAGGAGTCTCGAAATGTAGTGTTGTTTAAGAATCTTATAAGTATGACCACGGGTATTATGTAATCTTTGAAGAGTATAATAATTGTTAGGCCAACACCTGTATTTAAATAAGCAGACTTCTCAAGTACGCTACAGAAATTTTTGCCTAATTACGGATGTACAGAAGTAGGCAAAAATACTACGAAAATTTATCAAAGGTCAGACTCATAAAGGTCTAATGTCCAGAGAACAAATGAATTTTCCAGGATGTTTGGTTACATTGTCCTAACAATTTATATTTGTCAGATTATTGATGATAAATTAATGTGAAACTAAGAAAAAATTACCTGTTTGTTTAAAAATTCACAACTGTTATAATATCCTGTACCCATAATTTAAGCAACCCACAGTTTGGACTAAATAAAGACAAAATTTGGTTCTACAATTTGTATTACTACTACCAGACTAGGTTACTGAAATGTATTTTATAAAAATCCGAAAATGGCAATGTTAGACTGTACTCAGATATAGTATAATACATACTCCAAGTATCGAAATACACGCCATCATGTCAGGATTCAATATTTCAACATTAATTATGTCATCACATGATTCAATATTTGACATTAATTATGTCATCACATGATGACATAATTAATGTTGAAATATTGAATCCCGACACGATGACGTGCATTTTGATACTTGGAGTATGTATTATACTATCTTATCTGAGATTAATCAGTGGACCTTTCGGTTTTAGTCTGTACTACTTTCCAAATCAGTTTTCTGATAAAATGCTTGGTTTCTTAGTTGTGTGGTAGTAGTGAAAAAAGTTATAAGCTTCCTTTATACTAAATTTGCTGGAGATGAGTGCATTTTCGTGAGATTTTTGCTTGCTCGCAGGAGTGCCGGAGACCGTACTAATTTCTGGGAGACTCCCGCAGATTGCGGCAGACTTGAGGCCCCTGCAAAGCGGAAGTACTGTAATTTAAAAGCAGAACCATAAAAACAATGTAATTGCATGTAAACACATGTCTGACACTGGTGTTTGCATGATATAGTAAACAAAGTTATGGTACCTTTCAGTTTTGATAACAGTGAAAGCTCGGCCTCATTTCCAAACTAAGACTTTGAAAAGGTAGCATTTTTACTAACCTGCATATGTTTTCTGAAAATGTGGATTTTGATTGCAGCCCTTATCATTTAATGAAGGGATTTACTTTGGCCCTCCAACCCATTCTCATACTCACCCATGGTGTACATCATCAACTGCATAGCAAATTAAAGGCCTTTGTTTTATTTTTCAGGTATCATATGTTTTTTTTTTTGTGTTTACAGATAATTCAAGCAAACTAAATAGGAAAATGTCGATCAGTAAAGAGGAGCTGAAAGAACGTTTAACACCCCAGCAATATCATGTCACGCAAGAACAAGGGACAGAAAGGTAAAAGCTAAAAACATTTTGTGAAGATGAATTAAACAACCTGTTATTGAATTTTTATATTTTTTATAAGAATTATTTTATACTTTTTGTTTTGTGTACTTTTTACCTGTTGCTGCACCCTCCACCATGTAAGATACAGAAATTTCGAAAAAAATGTATTTAATTAATTTTTATTACAGTATACCTGCCG